TTTTCTTTGATAAAACTTACCTTTATCGGTTATCTCTATTGCAGCCTCCCGAAATTGGCCTTTATACTAGTTAGACACTAAGAATGCATTTTCTCATGGTGATCTATTAGAAGAAGTGTACATACAGCAACCAACTGGATTTGTTGCTCAGAGGGAGCATGAGAAAGTCTGTCATTTTAATAAATCTTTATATGGTTTAAAGCAGAATCCTCGTGTGTGGTTTGATAAGTTTAGTTAAGTAGTTTTAGAGTTTCAATTGAAGAGGAGCAAGTGTGATCATTCGGTCTTCTATAGACAATTAACAACTGGTATTATATTTCTTGTTGTTTATGTTGATGATGTTATTATACATGAGATGATCATGCAAGAATATCTTCTCTCAAGTCATTCTTTCATGCCAAGTTTCACACCAAAGGGTTGGGGTAGCTAAAATATTTCTTGAGAGTTGAAGTAACAAGAAATAAGAAAGAAATTTTTCTTATCTTAGAGGAAGTATGTACTTAATCCACTTGCAGAAACCACAAAACTAAGACGTAAGTCATGCAATATACTAACAGTGCCAAATGTACTTTTTATAAAAGATGACGGTGATCTCCTTGATGATCTAGAAAAATACAAGCGACTAGTTGGGAAATTGAACTATCTCACTGTGACTCACCCAGATATTGTATATCATGTCAGTGTTGTTTGTTAATTTATGTTTGCACCTACAATCAAATACTGGGAGGTTTTGGAACATATTTTGTACTAAAAATGTACTTCAGAACTTGACATATTGTTTAGCAATTGTGAGCACACTCACATTGAATACTTTATAGATGCTGATTGGGCTGGATCTAAAATTGATAAATGGTCCACTATGTGCTATTGTATTTTTGTTGGTGGGAACCTTGTATCATGGAGAAGTAAGAAACAAACAGTTGTGTCTTAGTCCAGTGCAGAGTGCAAATATGGAGTTATGACCCAGTTCACATGCACAATCTTATGGATAATTCACCTTTTAGCTGAAGTGGGTTTGAAGTCCATATTACCTGCAAAACTCTGGTGCAATAATCAGATTGCATTTCATATTGCCTCAAATCTGGTGTATCATAAGAGAACCAAATATATTAAGATTGATTGTCACTTCATCCATGAGAAGATTCAAGAAAACTTAATATTTACTGGATATGTGAAGACAGGGGAACAATTGAGTGATATATTCACAAAACATCTAAATAGAAATCGGACTGAGTATCTTTGTAACAAGTTGGTCATGATTAATATTTAAATTCTAGTTTGAGAGGGAGTGTTATAAGATTATAGAATATTCTCGTGTATAATATAATAGCACGATTACTTTTTCGTTTATATTAACATAATTAGGCAGTAAATTAATGAGGTAATTTATGTTTATTACCATATATGAATCCATTTATATGTTTATATACCCGAACCACATTGGAGTGAATAACAAGAAATATTCATATATTTTCCCAACCTTTTACATATATTGTCTTAACTTTTTACAGTCTGCAAAATCTGGCTCTCCACCTCAGATTTTCCTCTACTTTGCTGCACTACAGGAGGGGAAGAGTTAGGGTTCTGTTCTGCCTTAGGGGAGATTGTCTTATCTGGCTACGCCACCGCAAGGGAGGAGGGAGGGTGATGACGATGGTCTTCAATCTTCCTCTGTCCGGTGGCACCGCTACTTCATCTTTGATCAATTTCGGTTTAGAAGCCAGCTCAGAGTCAGGCTCAATCACAGGTTTGGCAGGGCTGGGGTTGGTTCACCTGTTGGCGTCTCCAAACCCTAGCTTGTTGGGCTTTCGGCCTGATATGGTGTTAGGGATCCTAAACACCAAAATAATAATGATAGTAATTATTAATAATCGTCATTTTTATTTTTGTTATTCAGAATTTTTTTTTCTAGTTTTAGGTGATTGATATATTTTTACATGTTATGGAGTTCTTTATATGTTTATATATGGGCAATATGTATGGAATAAATTCAGTAAAGCAATTTTCAAAGTTGACCAAAGTTTAGGAAGATAAGATTAGGTAGTTGTAGCAGTTATTCATAAGCAGTATACAGTTTATGTAGACTGTTTTTGGCAGTTTTTAGGGATAGTTTTGGCAGTTGCACTTTCTAACAAGAATAGAAAATTTTCCTTAATTGCCGTTCAACAAATCCCTAATTCTACTCTAAGAAAAGTATGAAAGGAATTTTTAAAATGTTGAATGCTTATTTACTTGAAAAAGATTGTAGGGTTCTCTCTTAACGAATCTGTAAATGTAGGAAAACTCAAACATACTTAAATGTTTCTATAGATTTTCATGTTAGTTGTCCCATAATTAGATCCATTAGTAGGAATCATAACATCTAGATTGGGCCCGAATAAGGTTTAAATTTGCTGGAGGCTGTGGGTTATGTAGGATGGGCTCAATTTTGTTGTTTAGCCTAAAAAATACTGTTTTTTTTCCTTCAGAGCCCAGCCCAGAGGTTGCTGCCTCCTTAGAGCTCCTCTGGGATATATTTAGCTGATTCAGCTCGTGGGGCCACCTCACTGTTCTCCTTCCTTCTTGGTCTACATTGACTTCCAGTGTGTGAGTTTTTAGTTCCACAAAATCTTCCCCAGAATCTATTCTCTGCATGTTCAGCATGAATCTTCGCCACCCAGCCCTTTTCTTGCCCCTGCCTGTGATGTGCCTTCCTTTAGTTTCATGCTCTGCGTATCAATCAGTACAACTGCTGCCTCTTTCCGTCCCCTGTTATCTCTTCCTATTGGAAAACAGACCCTATATGTGTGATGATCCCCTTCACATCTTGACAATAACAGGAAGCGATCCCCAATTTAACAAGCAAGCATCCGCTAGTCACCCTATATGCTGGAACATAAATGATCCCCTTAGCCTGAGTAGTCTTTATGCATTTGAGAAACTATTCAGATTCCAACCAGTTAGGTGCAATCTCTCTAACCTAATCCCTTACCTTCTCTTCAATCCTTACCCTTTCAGAGTCACATTCCACTTGCTCACGAAGAAGAGCTTTGATTCTAATGAAAAATGTTCTTTGTTCTACTCATGAGGCTTATACTAACCTAAATAAATAGCTGAAAAATGGAATGATCACCCCTGCCAAAGCTTTTTTTTACCATCTAGCTTTATCCTTATTTGTAAGATGCCAATCTAGATACTCAAGAAAAGATCGTGAATCTGGATAAATGAAAAAGGCATGATTTAAGACCTATTTTTAGGTCCAGTCTGTGAGAACCGTTGTTCCTAGTGGGACGGGATTTTCTTTGATATTTATAATCATTATCAGAATGAGTTTAGCTGGTATGGGTTTAATTTTCACCTAAGCTACTGTTGATATTGGTTGACAAAGAGACAAACTGGAATGTAGATTAGAGATGATGGTGCCAATGCCTATGGTCCTGTAGTGTGGACAAGTTTCTGAACTGAATCCATACAGTCCAAACATGCCAAACAATCTAGTCCATAACTGCCATGCTGCATCACACTGCAGAAAAACATGGTTGCGCAGCTAGGCCTGCACCTACACATAATGCAAACATCTGGTGAAGGAGCACAACTTAGTCTACGTATTTGCAACATGTCATTAGTATTGAGCCGGTTGAGAGTCCTAGTCCATGTATGCTTACTATATCTGTCTTTCGTTTCTTGTGGTGAGTCCTGATTAACATTTCCTCTAGTCCGTTCTTGGATACCCACTATTATCTGTCTCCCAGTAAATTCTTCTGTGCTATATTTACCTTATTGGACATCTAAGCAGTTTTTATTCTTTGTTAACTGCAGATTGGATTTGAACTTTATGGTATACTGGTTGGAAATGTTAGTCCCTTGACAGGAGAGACTATGAGGCCAGCTTATGTAGCAGGTGAAGAGGCTTTTTCAAGGGAAGTCATTGCACCTGTCTATGAAGTGATTGCAAGGGTATTGGATGCAATTTCTTGACTTTCAATGACTTTTTGGTTTTTTCTCTTATTTTTGTTGAATAAAATTTTTTTCAATTATATATCTAATTGAAAAAAATTGTTTATTGACAGGAGGCTACAAAGAGCAAAAGAGGAAAATTAAAGGATTCACAGCAGAGGAATTATGATGTCCTAAATCAATACTTCTGGTATTGGACAATCTTACTTATTCTGCATTATACATATTGTCCCGATTGATATTTTCATACCTGTTTAATTGCAGGTCTGCTGATTGTTTTCGGTTAGGTTGGCCAATGCGTCTGGATGTCTTCCATGTGTC